GGCCCCATATAGTAAATATCGCATTTATTTTATTATCACGTGTGCGCCAGCTGACTGTGCTTACGACATGTATAATTAATATGTTTAAGAAGAAACATTGAACCTTCCTCTCCTTGTATGCATTTCTTCAGAGAAGGAATAGCGCCACCCGCTTTGGAACCACAGTACGTAGCCGACAAAGTTGTGGACGCTGTACAGATGAACCAAGAGGTTCTTCTATTGCCAAAAGACGGATATATCAGCGTTTGGTTGAAATCGTAAGTAACCATGCAAGTCCCCTCACAACAGTAATGCGGGCATGCATACAAGCGTGCGATAAACCGAATGTAACATTTTAATTACTATTACCCGCCTAGAAATATCAGTTGATGAGATCGATACATAGTCATGTGATCTTCGATGTCGCGACCGGAGAAGTTCATGGTGCGACTATTATCCTGCCCTCTAGCCTCTCATTACGTTGGTATTGTTTTCTGACTTGTCAACCAGCAAACGACAAATAATAATCTCCCGAGCTCAGTACATTACACATTAATCGTTACTAGTAGACTTTACATGAATATTTACACATATACTTATTGGTTAGGTTTTTTTTAATTGCAGATGGATGTCACATAGATCTTTTCTCACTATATTGAAGTTTATTGGTGCATTAAATGGAATGGATGAATTTATTGGTAAACAAAAGAAGTCCAAATAATATGCGGCTCATCTCAAACAGATAGATGTGTTAAATAACAAATACTTCATTTTAAACATAGTACGTATTGCAGACAGGCACAGGGACATAATAACAAATATTGTTTTTATTGTTATAGCATTACGGACTGTATACACGTTTATAGACATACACTGTAAAACATGTATAACTAGCTAAATGCCATTTTAGCGATTTTTACTCCATGCATGCACGAATTAACTGAACCTTAATTTAGCTAAAGTATCAACAATCTCATTATGAGAATATACTTTATTTTAAATTTGGTTACATCTTTAATTAGCGATATTACAGATTAGCTAAATTAGCTAAAATAACATGCTAGCTGAAATGACATTTTTTACAGTATACAGGCATGTATACATAAACAAATGAAGAAAAATAAATTCCGTGTGTTTGCATGTCCCCGTTCAAGAAAGAAATGCGCAACCAACAATAGTTGTAGATTTTTGGGATTCATTTGGGAACATTTCATGCTCACATCTGTAAGTGTTTCAACTTTATAATAGCGGTATGCATTTGAATGTCCGGCTTACTATATATTTCAAATAAAAGCTGACTAGTTTACCCAACTCCGTTCAAAGTGTGGACCCTTATCCTTCTCAGGTGGAAATTTTCCTCAACGTTTATGACAAGATGATTTTTTTTATCTGATTTGGTGAGCTCAACGCATGTTGCTCACCGAAACTGTGCTAAACGAACTTTGTTTACCATTTAACTACTTACCAAAACAAACAGCATAATGTAAAGTTGGCCTATATTCTGGTATGACCTTGGCTTTGACATTTCAAAGGTTGCGTGTCGGTCATCTTTCACAGTTCACGCTAAACCTTGTCCACGTTATTTTATGTCGAGATACTAATGAATTATTATGGTCAATATATTTCATATTTCCCGCAAATGAGGGAAATAATGCATTTTTTTTTTAAATTCTAAGTTTGATTCAGCTGCATAATTATTTTATCATGTTGTATCATGTGAACATTGTTGGACGCGTGTAACTCTAATCTGTCAGTTTGTCACTGAGGGCAAACAATCAAAGTACGTCCACCCTGACTGGTACGTTGATCCACCGCATTCCACTTCGTACACAAACATTACCGGTACACATTGCTGTAACAGCCATGCTCATCATTTTCGAAGCGATTGTTCTTATACTGAAAATAACATGGTTCAACTTAGTCGGAATCTTTCGTTTTTTCGTGCCGCCTACTAAGAAATCGTTGGTAGGCGAGATAGTGCTTATAACTGGTGCTGGCAGTGGTATTGGTCGTTTGATGGCCATTAATTTCGCCAAACATGGGTGTACATTGGTTTTATGGGATATCGACAAAGATAGCAATGACGAGACAACGGAAATAATCACTGCTCTGGGAGGGAAGGCATACGGTTATCGGTGCGATGTGACAAATAAAGACGAAGTTTACCGCCTTGCTGAACAAATCAAGGAATATGTTGGTAGCGTAACTATACTTGTCAATAATGCTGGGGTCGTGGCAGGCAAGAATTTGTTGGATTGTCCCGATGAACTAATTTTAAGATCAATGAACGTTAATGTAATTTCGCACTTTTGGGTAAGTAGCTACAACCGAATAGCGCTACCGATGCACTTTGTGCCACTTATCACAAAATGTGTAACAACAAAGCGACAGAACCGCTTATATTACGAGGTTCCTTAATTATATTTTATAAATTTTGTAAATCATTGAACAACCTACCCCGCAAGTGCTATGCATATGTTGTGTTGGTATGTGGTTGTATATACCTGTCCCGTACATAATATGTAGTATGTTATGTTGGTATGTGGATGTATATACCTGTCCCGTACGTAGTATGTATTATGTTGTGTTGGTATGTGGTTGTATATACCTGTCCCGTACATAGTATGTATCATGTTGTGTTGGTATGTGGTTGTATATACCTGTCCCGTACGAAGTATGTATCATGTTGTGTTGGTATGTGGTTGTATATACCTGTCCCGTACGTAGTGTGTATTATGTTGTGTTGCTATGTGGTTGTATATACCTGTCCCGTACATAGTATGCATTATGTTGTGTTGGTATGTAGTTGTATATACCTTTCCCGTATATAGTACGCAATATGATGTGTTGGTATGTAGTTGTATATACCTGTCTCGTACATAGTAAGCATTATGTTGTGTTGGTATGTAGTTGTATATACATGTACCGTACATAGTATGCATTATGTTTTGTTGGTATGTGGTTGTATATACCTGTACCGTACATAGAATGCATTATGTTGTGTTGGTATGTAGTTGTATATACCTGTACCGTACGTAGTATGCATTATGTTGTGCTGGTATGTGGTTGTATATACCTGTCCCGTACGTAGTATGCATTATGTTGTGTTGGTATGTGGTTGTATATACCTGTCCCGTACATAGTATGCATTATGTTGTGCTGGTATGTGGTTGTACATACCTGTCCCGTACATAGTATGCATTATGTTGTGTTGGTATGTAGTTGTATATACCTGTCCCGTACATAGTATGCATTATGTTGTGTTGGTATGTAATTGTATATACCTGTACCATACATAGTATGCATTATGTTGTGTTGGTATGTGGTTGTACATACCTGACCCGTACGTAGTATGCATTAAGTTGTGCTGGTATGTGGTTGTATATACCTGTCTCGTACGTAGTATGCATTATGTTGTGTTGGTATGTAGTTGTATATACCTGTCCCGTACATAGTATGCATTATGTTGTGTTGGTATGTAGTTCTATATACCTGTACCGTACATAGCATGCAGTATGTTGTGTTGGCATGTGGTTGTATTTACCTGTCTCGTACATAGTATGCATTATGTTGCGTTGGTATGCGGTTATATAAACCTGTCCCGTACGTAGTATGCATTATGTTGTGTGATATATACCTGTCCCGTACATATTATGCATTATGTTGTGTTGGTATGTGGTTGTATATACCTGTCCCGTACATAATATGCATTATGCTGTGTTGGTATGTGGTTGTACATACCTGTCTCGTACATATTATGTTGTATGTTGTGTTGGTATGTGGTTATATATACCTGTCCCGTACATAATGTGCATTATGTTGTGTTGGTATGTGGTTGTATGCACCTGTCCCGTACATAGTATGCATTATATTGTCTTGGTATGTGGTTGAATATACCTGTCCCGTACATAGTATGCATTATGTTGTGTTGGTATGTGGTTGTATATACCTGTCCCGTACATAATATGCATTATGTTGTGTTGGTATGTGGTTGTGTTTACCTGTCTCGTACATAGTATGTATTATGTTGTGTTTGTATGTGGTTGTATATACCTGTCCCATACATAGTATGCATTATGTTGTGTTGGTATGTGGTTGCATATACCTTCCCCGTACACAGTATGCATTATGTTGTGTTGGTATGCGGTTATATGTACCTGTCTCGTGCGTAGTAAGCATTATGTTGTGTTGCTATGTGGTTGTATATACCTGTCTCGTACTGTCGCATACGACTTATTTACCACTTCCGTGTCACTGAGAGAATGTTCTAGAACCGTACTGTGTCTGGGTGGAATATTCTAGATTTTGTTTTTAGAAACTGGTTGAATAGGTAATAGAACACTGTAGGAGGCAATAGAAGGTAATGGAACATTCTAGAAATTTATAGTAAATTTCAGACTCATTATGTATGCTGATGTAATGGTCTATTTATAGCCAATGAACCATCACACCTGTATTATACCAATTACGGTAATATTACGTTGCGTGTGACACGAACATATTATGTAGTATGTTGTGTTGGTATGTGGTTGTATATACCTGTCTCGTACTGTCGCATACGACTTATTTACCTCTTCCGTGTCACTGAGAGAATGTTCTAGAACCGTACTGTGTCTGGGTGGAATATTCTAGATTTTGTTTTTAGAAACTGGTTGAATAGGTAATAGAACACTGTAGGAGGCAATAGAAGGTAATGGAACATTCTAGAAATTTATAGTAAATTCCAGACTCATTATGTATGCTGATGTAATGGTCTATTTATAGCCAATGAACCATCACACCTGTACTATACCAATTACGGTAATATTACGTTGCGTGTGACACGAACATATTATGTAGTATGTTGTGTTGGTATGTGGTTGTATATACCTGTCACGTACATAGTATGCATTATGTTGTGATGGTAGATGGTTATATATTCCTGTCTCGTACATAGTATGCATAATGTTGTGTTGGTATGTGGTTGTATATACCTGGCCAGTACATATTATGCATTATGTTGTGTTGGTATGGAGTTGTATTTACCTGTCTCGTACATAGTATGCATTATGTTGTGTTGGTATGGGGTTGTATATACCTGTCTCGTACTGTCGCATACCACTTATTTACCACTTCCGTGTCACTGAGATAATGTTCTAGAACCGTACTGTGTCTGGGTTGAATATTCTAGATTTTTTTTAGAAACTGGTTGAATAGGTAATAGAACACTGTAGGAGGCAATAGAAGGTAATGGAACATTCTAGAAATTTATAGTAAATTCCAGACTCATTATGTATGCTGATGTAATGGTCTATTTATAGACAATGTGGGTATATATAGGGGAGTTGTTCAGCACTGAGTTCAGATCGGATATCTCGTTGAATTGTATTGGAATTTAAGTATCTAGTTATTGGAGTAGTGAAGTTTTACCGCGTTATTGTACTTGATGTTTGCAGAGTATAATAATACCAGTACCAGTTGAAACCTCGTCTGTTGGCTCCGTGTTCGTATTTTATCATCGCCGCCAGGGAAGTCTTTTTGGTTACTGTTGCCATTTTGGTATTTGAACCATCACACCTGTACTATACCAATTACGGTAATATTACGTTGCGTGTGACACGAACATATTATGTAGTATGTTGTGTTGGTATGTGGTTGTATATACCTGTCACGTACATAGTATGCATTATGTTGTGATGGTAGATGGTTATATATTCCTGTCTCGTACATAGTATGCATTATGTTGTGTTGGTATGTGGTTGTATATATCTGGCCAGTACATATTATGTATTATGTTGTGTTGGTATGGGGTTGTATTTACCTGTCTCGTACATAGTATGCATTATGTTGTGTTGGTATGTGGTTGTGTATACCTGCCTCGTACATATTATGTAGTATGTTGTGTTGGTATGTGGTTGTATGTACCTGTCCCGTACATATTATGCAGTATATTGTGTTGGTATGTGGTTGTATATACCTGTCCCGTACATAGTATGCATTATGTTGTGTTGGTATGGGGTTGTATTACCTGTCGCGTACATAGTATGCATTATGTTGTGATGGTAGGCGGTTATATATTCCTGTCTCGTACATAGTATGCATTATGTTGTGTTGGTATTTGGTTATATATACCTGTCCCGTACGTAGAATGCATTATGTTGTGTTGCTATGTGGTTGTATATACCTGTCTTGTACTGTCGCATACCACTTATTTACCACTTCCGTGTCACTGAGATAATGTTCTAGAACCGTACTGTGTCTGGGTTGAATATTCTAGATTTTTTTTTAGAAACTGGTTGAATAGGTAATAGAACACTGTAGGAGGCAATAGAAGGTAATGGAACATTCTAGAAATTTATAGTAAATTCCAGACTCATTATGTATGCTGATGTAATGGTCTATTTATAGACAATGTGGGTATATATAGGGGAGTTGTTCAGCACTGAGTTCAGATCGGATATCTCGTTGAATTGTATTGGAATTTAAGTATCTAGTTATTGGAGTAGTGAAGTTTTACCGCGTTATTGTACTTGATGTTTGCAGAGTATAATAATACCAGTACCAGTTGAAACCTCGTCTGTTGGCTCCGTGTTCGTATTTTATCATCGCCGCCAGGGAAGTCTTTTTGGTTACTGTTGCCATTTTGGTATTTGAACCATCACACCTGTACTATACCAATTACGGTAATATTACGTTGCGTGTGACACGAACATATTATGTAGTATGTTGTGTTGGTATGTGGTTGTATATACCTGTCACGTACATAGTATGCATTATGTTGTGATGGTAGATGGTTATATATTCCTGTCTCGTACATAGTATGCATTATGTTGTGTTGGTATGTGGTTGTATATACCTGGCCAGTACATATTATGTATTATGTTGTGTTGGTATGGGGTTGTATTTACCTGTCTCGTACATAGTATGCATTATGTTGTGTTGGTATGTGGTTGTGTATACCTGCCTCGTACATATTATGTAGTATGTTGTGTTGGTATGTGGTTGTATGTACCTGTCCCGTACATATTATGCAGTATATTGTGTTGGTATGTGGTTGTATATACCTGTCCCGTACATAGTATGCATTATGTTGTGTTGGTATGGGGTTGTATTACCTGTCGCGTACATAGTATGCATTATGTTGTGATGGTAGGCGGTTATATATTCCTGTTTCGTACATAGTATGCATTATGTTGTGTTGGTATTTGGTTATATATACCTGTCCCGTACGTAGAATGCATTATGTTGTGTTGCTATGTGGTTGTATATACCTGTCTCGTACATATTATGTGGTATGTTGTGTTGCTATGTGGTTGTATATACCTGTCCCGTACATAGTATGCATTATGTTGTGTTGGTATGTGGTTGTATATACCTGTCCCGTACATAATATGCATTATGTTGTGTTGGTATGTGGTTGTGTTTACCTGTCTCGTACATAGTATGTATTATGTTGTGTTGGTATGTGGTTGTATATACCTGTCCCGTACATAGTATGCATTATGTTGTGTTGGTATGTGGTTGCATATACCTTCCCCGTACACAGTATGTATTATGTTGTGTTGGTATGCGGTTATATATACCTGTCTCGTGCGTAGTAAGCATTATGTTGTGTTGCTATGTGGTTGTATATACCTGTCTCGTACTGTCGCATACCACTTATTTACCACTTCCGTGTCACTGAGAGAATGTTCTAGAACCGTACTGTGTCTGGGTTGAATATTCTAGATTTTTTTTTAGAAACTGGTTGAATAGGTAATAGAACACTGTAGTAGGCAATAGAAGGTAATGGAACATTCTAGAAATTTATAGTAAATTCCAGACTCATTATGTATGCTGATGTAATGGTCTATTTATAGACAATGTGGGTATATATAGGGGAGTTGTTCAGCACTGAGTTCAGATCGGAGATCTCGTTGAATTGTATTGGAGTTTAAGTATCTAGTTATTGGAGTAGTGAAGTTTTACCGCGTTATTGTACTTGATGTTTGCAGAGTATAATAATACCAGTACCAGTTGAAACCTCATCTGTTGGCTCCGTGTTCGTATTTTACCATCGCCGCCAGGGAAGTCTTTTTGGTTACTGTTGCCATTTTGGTATTTGAACCATCACACCTGTACTATACCAATTACGGTAATATTACGTTTCGTGTGACACGAACATATTATGTAGTATGTTGTGTTGGTATGTGGTTGTATATACCTGTCACGTACATAGTATGCATTATGTTGTGATGGTAGATGGTTATATATTCCTGTCTCGTACATAGTATGCATCATGTTGTGTTGGTATGTGGTTGTATATACCTGGCCAGTATATATTATGCATTATGTTGTGTTGGTATGGGGTTGTATTTACCTGTCTCGTACATAGTATGCATTATGTTGTGTTGGTATGTGGTTGTGTATACCTGCCTCGTACATATTATGTAGTATGTTGTGTTGGTATGTGGTTGTATGTACCTGTCCCGTACATATTATGCAGTATATTGTGTTGGTATGTGGTTGTATATACCTGTCCCGTACATAGTATGCATTATGTTGTGTTGGTATGGGGTTGTATTACCTGTCGCGTACATAGTATGCATTATGTTGTGATGGTAGGCGGTTATATATTCCTGTCTCGTACATAGTATGCATTATGTTGTGTTGGTATTTGGTTATATATACCTGTCCCGTACGTAGAATGCATTATGTTGTGTTGCTATGTGGTTGTATATACCTGTCTCGTACTGTCGCATACCACTTATTTACCACTTCCGTATCACTGAGATAATGTTCTAGAACCGTACTGTGTCTGGGTTGAATATTCTAGATTTTTTTTTAGAAACTGGTTGAATAGGTAATAGAACACTGTAGTAGGCAATAGAAGGTAATGGAACATTCTAGAAATTTATAGTAAATTCCAGACTCATTATGTATGCTGATGTAATGGTCTATTTATAGACAATGTGGGTATATATAGGGGAGTTGTTCAGCACTGAGTTCAGATCGGAGATCTCGTTGAATTGTATTGGAGTTTAAGTATCTAGTTATTGGAGTAGTGAAGTTTTACCGCGTTATTGTACTTGATGTTTGCAGAGTATAATAATACCAGTACCAGTTGAAACCTCATCTGTTGGCTCCGTGTTCGTATTTTACCATCGCCGCCAGGGAAGTCTTTTTGGTTACTGTTGCCATTTTGGTATTTGAACCATCACACCTGTACTATACCAATTACGGTAATATTACGTTTCGTGTGACACGAACATATTATGTAGTATGTTGTGTTGGTATGTGGTTGTATATACCTGTCACGTACATAGTATGCATTATGTTGTGATGGTAGATGGTTATATATTCCTGTCTCGTACATAGTATGCATCATGTTGTGTTGGTATGTGGTTGTATATACCTGGCCAGTATATATTATGCATTATGTTGTGTTGGTATGGGGTTGTATTTACCTGTCTCGTACATAGTATGCATTATGTTGTGTTGGTATGTGGTTGTGTATACCTGCCTCGTACATATTATGTAGTATGTTGTGTTGGTATGTGGTTGTATGTACCTGTCCCGTACATATTATGCAGTATGTTGTGTTGGTATGTGGTTGTATATACCTGTCCCGTACATAGTATGCATTATGTTGTGTTGGTATGGGGTTGTATTACCTGTCGCGTACATAGTATGCATTATGTTGTGATGGTAGGCGGTTATATATTCCTGTCTCGTACATAGTATGCATTATGTTGTGTTGGTATTTGGTTATATATACCTGTCCCGTACGTAGAATGCATTATGTTGTGTTGCTATGTGGTTGTATATACCTGTCTCGTACATATTATGTGGTATGTTGTGTTGCTATGTGGTTGTATATACCTGTCCCGTACATAGTATGCATTATGTTGTGTTGGTATGTGGTTGTATATACCTGTCCCGTACATATTATGCATTATGTTGTGTTGGTATATGGTTGTATATACCTGTCCAGTACATAGTATGCATTATGTTGTGTTGGTATGTGGTTGTATATACCTATCCCGTACATAGTATACATTATGTTGTGTTGCTATGTGGTTGTATATACCTGTCCCGTACATAGTATGCATTATGTTGTGTTGGTATGTGGTTGTATATACCTGTCCCGTACATATTATGCATTATGTTGTGTTGGTATATGGTTGTATATACCTGTCCAGTACATAGTATGCATATGTTGTGTTGGTATGTGGTTGTATATACCTAATCCCGTACATAGTATG